AAACGCTTCCACGATGCCTTGCACGCGGATTACGCGTGTCTCTTGGACGCAAAATAAATTTCCACAATTAGTTATATTACCGATCCGTCAGTAAAAGTGACGGTGAATAGTTTAATTATAGTATTATATATTCATGATAAAGTATAGAATATGTGTGTAATTTAAACTTAAAATATAAAATAAGAAATATGTACTTTAAATAAATGTTTCAAATAATAAATACAAGATATACTCCACATATGTTATCATAAATATACTATAATTGAACTATTCACTTTCATACATATAGTATATTTATGATAAAGTATAGCATATGTGGAATACAAGATATACTCCTTAATAAGCCTTGACTTATTAAAAATCATTAAAATATCTTTATAATAATAGTCGATTATATATTGTGTTAATAATATTAAATATCAGAATTTTATACAAAAAATTAAAAAATATAATACAATATTTAATTAATATTATCTTTTACTCAAATATGTACATGTCTCAATTAATGTGTTGCTAGTCTTAGAAAAAAACTTTTTTGTTATCAGCGGCCCATTCTCATGAATATGTAAACAATAATACTTTTTTAGTACATTTGTTTAAAAAAAAAAGAGAGTTTGAAGCGTTTTCTGACCAGTAATTGAATATTAGTTTTTCTATCAAAAGTATATTCAATATATAATAAAAAAATATATATATATATATAAATATTACATAATAAAAAACATATATAAATAACTGTTTTTAACAAGAAAATATTAGAAATAGATAAATTCATCATCAATTGTTCGCTCCTGATTGTCAAATCCTTGAAGTAGTTTTATTAAACGATCATATAATAGAGTTTTAGCATCGATGGCCCATAAACAATCTAAATGGGTTAATAATTTATATGGATTTTCCTCCAGCAGGATAACGTTTGGCAGCTGCTTGTATATCTCAAGGACATTCTAAGAACAAAAATATAGAAAGACAATAAAATTTGTAATATAATCAATATTGTTATGGTTATAATGAACAATATTAAATTAGTAATAACTAATAATAATTTAAGAAATCTAAACAATTACTTCTTAAATACTATTTTCATATACATAACATAAATAATAATGTTAGCTCAAAGAATGAGAGAGAAGTAAGAAAAATAGAAAAGAGGAAGAGAAAAAAAAGGAGAGAGAAAAATAGAAGTAAAAAAAGGGAAATGTAATCTGTTGTAATCGATCTCAAACATACTTAATTTTTACAAAATGGCACACGTCTAAATTTAAAATGTATAATTTTTTATAAAAAATTGTTCCTCTTTAATTGTGCCCATAAAATAATATCTTACATAGAAATGATAAAAGTGTCTTTACCGATTTTGGAGCAAGCAAATCGTTAACGGAATAATATAAAGCCAAGGGCGCAGTAACTTTTTTTAAATCGTACATTATGGGCATCATTTGTCCATATTTCTTGTAATTGTCAAAATATCCGTTGTCATAGGCTTGAAATTTCTCTGTAATAATCAATATTAATTATTTACATAAATATAAAACTGAAGAGTATCTCAAATTTTAATTTTTTTAGGTAAACATAAAATATTATGTGATCGTAAGCAACATGCTTAAAAGAACTACTACTTTAACTTTTATTTATATTATTAATAAAAGTATTATAATACAAAAATAAAAATTTTCATTACATTTGAATTACGTTTTAAAGCAATTAAATCAATTACTTTATAATTAACATAGTTTATATTATAATATTATATGTTTGAAGGAAAGAGGAATACTCACCAGTAATGATATTTTGATAAAAATGATGTATTGTTTGCAAGGAAACGCCGGCCGGGTAATACGAGAATATTTCCGGTAATATCGTCTGCAATGAATGGTTTAATTAAAAATAATTTTGATTTGTTGTATATTAGAGTATAAACACTTGATTTTATAATTTTTATTAAAAGCTCTAACAGCAATGTTGCAATTAACAAAATCGTGCTAAGTTAAAGACGTATAATATACAGTATTAAGTTGCGGTGTATCGGATCCAGAGATTAAAAATATCATTGCAATGCAGACAGCCTGAGTAATTGCTTTATCTGTACACAATGTTCTTCCAATCCTAATACTCGTTGATGATAAGGAGGCTATCTCATATATTTCATTAGATTCAAGAAATTCCTAATAAACAAAAATAAACGTAAATATAAGAAAATGTAAACGTACCCTGATTCGCTAAATTTCGCTGAAATTATTGCACGTTTTGAAACATTTTTCGGCAAAATTTTAACATTTTAGAAAAATTTCAGTTTAATTTCAGCGATTTTTAACTGAAAAATTTATTTTTAGCAAAATTTCAACAAAATTAAAAAAAAATTCAGCAAAATTTTAACAAAATTTCGAA